TCAAATTATCTGTTTCTTCTTGATTCAGTTTTGGTGGGCTGTATGTTTCTAGAAACTTGTCCATTTCTTCTACGTTGTCCAATTTATTGTCATATAATTGTTCATAGTACTGACTACGTAATTAATATATAAAAATCAATTGTATTTCTGTAAAGAACATGAAACACACACCTGAAAATTAAAGTATATCAAAGTGTATTGTTAATATTTCTAACCTCCTTCCAGACAATGCAAGGACATTAAGTCACTTTTTTTTTGTTGTTGTTGTACACGGGCCTCTCACTGCTGTGGCCTCTCCCACTGTGGAGCACAGGCTCCGGATGCGCAGGCTCAGCGGCCATGGCTCACGGGTCCAGCTGCTCCGCGGCATGTGGGATCCTCCCGGACTGGGGCACAGACCCGTGTCCCCTGCATTGGCAGGCGGACTCTCGACCACTGCGCCACCAGGGAAGCCCGTTCAGTCACTTTTAATGGAAAATTCATCCAAGGGATGAATGTCCCCCAGTAGATGCTGTGCATGAACTACCAGTCAGCTGTTTTAACAACTTGTTCCCCATTTTACCCTCTGACATTGGTCAGTATTTCCTTGCCATGTATTTCTCTGGTATCGTTAATCTTACAACATTTTCTACAATGATTTCTGCAAAGAAAAAAACTGTGAAGACCCTAATGACTACCAGGATTTGAACCATTCTCTACAAAGCTTATTAATAACTCAGTAGAAATGTTATCTAATTTCTCTTTTTCACATCATATTTCGAAAGCTATCTAAACTCCCCTCTCAGTGAGCTGGTTTTTGTTTCCTCCCTCTGTCTTTTCTCCTGTTGATGCCCCCATTCTTTTGTATGTCAAAAACATCATGCAGTACTATTCTTGGTAACTGAGCAAAGTAATCAGATACTGCCTCCTGAATATTCTCTTGGCTTCCCAATAACAAGATTACATAAAGAAGGAGGAGTTGCTGATTTCCACATCTGTTCTTATCTTTGCCAATAGCATTAAATTATATTGTTATCGTAAAGCCAGTCTAAGTTGACTTGCATGCATAACATGCCTACTGTTTTAGAGAACTGTTCTACTTGAGGGTTGGGGTGATGACAGGGGATTACCTCTCTTGAGATAGATAAACTGCAGCCCTGCTCTTATTCACTGTAGTAGTTTAGTTGTTGTATCACTTGGAAGCATCTGTTCACAGCCTCTTAGGGATCTATCATCGACCCAAGTAATCCTTTCTACTCAGTTGTATGTAAAATAAGTGATAGTATCCTCCTGATTGTTTGTCCATGCCAGTAATGATTTCACCAGCATTTTCTGGGATGTCTCTCAAAAATGTCCTCTTTCACAAAATATTCTCAGCACTCAGTCCTCTGACCATGTCCTCCTCCATTTGTATTGTCTTTGGGGTAACCCCAAGCTTTAAGTTCATTACTTTCTTAGTGGATACTTCATCTTCCCAGGCAGCCATATAAGCATAAGAAGGCCTTCCAGTGAGAGGAAAAACTGTTCTTCTGGTCCTTTCTCTTGCCATCATCTCTTCTCTGAAAAGACTAGCATTTTTTCAGCAATGCTAGTAACTGCCAGATAGTGTAATTTTTTACTGTCTTCCTCTCTGCCTGCTGCTGCCTATCAGGCCAGTAGCTACTTTCTCTGAATCTCAGTTTTGTCACTTCATACCAAGGATGAGTAGGCAACTATCCCAGGATTAGATCCTCCTCTTATTTTTCAGTCTCCTCCTTTTTCTGGCTAAAAAGTGCCTCAGCCTTTTTGATTCATGGATCTGTATGAGTCTTCCTCACAGCACTACTCTGAGATAAAATATTTTCAAATCAGACACACATAAACCTGATTACCCAGGATTACCCAGAGAGATTATCCAGTATTAAAGCTTTATTAATAATTTCAATGATACAGGCAATCAAGAGACTCAGAAAAAGCAGGGAGCAGTCTGGTACATAGAGCAGGACTCCTTACTGTGGAAGTTAATAACCTATGCACCTTACTTAGAGGCCTGTCTACTCTAGGCCAGAGTGTGCATGTCTAATACAGGGAAGGGAAGAATAAAGTTGCTTTTCATGTCCCAGACTTCTCCCTGATTAGTCTGGACCTCTTAATTGCCCATATTTTTGAAATTATTTGTGAAGCCTGACACTGGGTAAAATCTCTGGCTTATGTGAGTCAGATTTGACAGTCTGATCCTTATTCACTCACCGAGGTATGTCCATTCTCTTTTCTCATTACTTCCTATTGGGACATAGAAATGCTGTTTTGTTTGCATATTGTCTGAGAGCTGATCCTAAAATTCATATGGAAAACACAAATGACCTAGAATATCCAAAAGAATTTTAAAAGAAGAATAAAGTTAAAGGACATACACTGTCAGACTTCATGACTTGATTTAAAGCTATAAAAATCAAGAAACTGTTGTATTAGCATAAGGTTATGCATCTAAATCTTGGGGCAGAATTGGAAGTTCAGAAATAAGCTTATACATTATGTTTAATGGGTTTTTGACAAAGATTCTGAAGTAATTCCATGGGTTGGTAATACTTTTTCTTCAACAAAGTTGAAACTATCACTTGTGACAGTTTTTCCAGCAAAGTTTTTTCATTATATATGAAAATAATGATCATGATGCTATATTGGAAAAAATAGCTTAAAATGGAAACTAAAAAAAAATTTAGAAGAAAACATAGGTGAAAATATTTGATGTAGGCAAAGATTTCTTAGATATGTCACCAAAAGCATGAACCACAAAATATATACATATACGTACAGTGGAATATTACTCAGCCCTGAAAAGGAACGAAATTGGGTCATTTGTAGAGACATAGATGGATCTAGAGACTTACACAGAGTGAAGTAAGTCAGAAAGAGAAAAACAAATATCGTATATTAACACATATATGTGGAACCTAGAAAAATGGTACAGATGAACCTTTTTGCAGGGCAGAAATTGAGACACAGATGTAGAAAACAAACATATGGACACCAAGTGGGGAAAGCAGCGGGTGGGGGGAGTGGGGGTGTGTGCTGAATTGGGTGATTGGGATTGACATGTACACACTGATGTGCATAAGATTGATGACTAATAAGAACCTGCTGTATAAAAAAATAAATAAAATTCAAAAATTAAAAAAGGAATGCTCATATATTGCTTGTGGGAATGTAAAATTGTATATGAACTTTGTAAAACAAAATCGCAGTTTCCTAAAAAGTTCTATCATTTCCATTTAACAGAGCAGTTCTTGTACATAAATGTTAATAGCAGCTTTATTCATTATAGTACAAAGCTGGAATAATCCAGAATTCCATCCCCAGGTGTGTGGGTGAACAAAAGTGTTTTATTCTTACAGTGGAATACTATTCAACAATACCTAGGAATGGTACTACTGATATACAGAAACATATGCATGAATCTAAAAAGTATGCTTTTTGAAAGAAACCGGACACAAAGGAAGGGGTACATTCAGTATGATTCCATTTATGTAAAACTCTATAAAATAACAAACTTTTTTAAAAAAATAAATTTATTTATTTATGGCTGCCGTTGGGTCTTTTTTGCAGCGTGCGGGCTTTCTCTAGTTGTGGCGAGCGGGGGCTACTCTTCGTTGCAGTGCGTGGGCTTCTCACTGAGGTGGCTTCTCTTGTTGTGGAGCACGGACTCTAGGCATGCGGGCTTCAGTAGTTGTGGCTTGTGGGCTCAGTAGTTGTGGCTCACGGACTCTAGAGCTCAGTCTCAGTAGTCGTGGTACACAGGCTTAGTTGCTCCGCAGCATGTGGGATCTTCTCAGACCAGGGCTCAAGCCCATGTCCCCTGCATTGGCAGGCAGATTCTTAACCACTGCGCCACCAGGGAAGTCCCCAAAATACAAATTTTAATATGTAGTAAAAGAAAGAAATCAGTGTGCTTGCCTGTGGATGGGAGGATTTTCTGGAAGGAGCACTAATGAATCTTCGTAAGAAAATAGAAATGTCTATATGTGGATAGTGGTGCTGGTGGTCACCCAAGTATATCTGTTTGTTTTTTTTAATTCAATAAAATTTACCCTTAAAATGCATTTAATCTTACATATATAATACCTCAGTGAAATTTGGGTGGAAAATCCCTCCTTTGTTAGCAGAAGAAATCCTTTATAATTCAGATGTACATCCTTTGAAGGTTGTGAGTTTACTTAATTAGATACAAGCTTAGTAGCTTGCTTTTAGCTTTTTGGAATTATCTCTTTAACTCTGTTGTTCATTTGAAATTGCAAAAGGAGGGGGAGAAAAATATGTGCTAATCTAGTGATCAAGCATGTAAAAATATCTAATGAATGGTATTGGACAAGGTTAAATTATGATGGGAGGAGAATTTCAAGTTTTACACAGCGTACGGTATCTTGTCATTCATGATCATACGTTACCATTATATAGGGCTTGAGGATGTGTATGTAGCTTTCACAAATATTTCATCCTCATAATAGACTGTGAAGTAGTTAGGGAAGGTATCATCTTTCTGTTTTACACATGAACACACAGGCTCAGTGAGATGGTTACATAATTTGGTGAAGATCACTTAGCTGACAAGCGCTAGAGGACCTGGAAATCAGTGTAAGAGCTTCTGGCCCTAACTGTCTCTCCACTGTGACACACTACTTCCCTTTAAAATATACTTTTGTTGTCTGGTCGGTCTGTCTCCACCTCTCCCTTTTAAAAAAAAAAAAAAAAAAAAAAGACCCATTAACTTTATTGACATGTATTTTGAATAGAATTCGGGTTTCTTTTCATGATGTAGTTTTAAATGCTGGTTTAGTTGTATTATTGTATTAACCAGAAACATTCTGGGGGGTTCATGATGTGACCAAAAAGCAATTACAGTGCCCAGAGAATAAACAAACTTTGAAAAAACATACCTTTGGGTCCCATAAACTAAAATGAACGATTGCCAAGAAATTATGTAATTTGACTAGTTTTCAGAATCTGTTTAACATACTAATTTAATTCATTATGACAATTTTCAGACTAAATAAACTTGAAGATACTATTATGCTAATTAAAGGAAAAATCGAAGAAGTTCATCTTCCTGTAGAAAAAGTGGATGTTATTATATCTGAGTGGATGGTAAGTGTTTGCAGAGAAAACTACTTTTATTAATTTTTTAAAAAGGCAACGAATAAAGTAGCAGGTTTTCTGTGTTTAATTATATTTGATAAATGGCAAAATGGTAGCATTATTTTAAAAACAGCTACAGTCTTTTTATGGTAGTTTATTCTGAAATGGCACTTATTTACTGGCCATTTATAATTTTTTAAAGAAGAGGGTAAATTAGCCTTTTTGCTTTTAAAGTCATAATAAAGAATTATTATTTTTCTACTTTCTAGATTTGTGGAGACCTAAATATGTTTTCCTAAAAGCCTACAAGGACTAGTTAAGGATTTCCTGAGACTGTTTATGTCAGAATAATGTGATGTTGCCACTGTTGTTGTCATACTTAATATCCTATCTTTCTGATCTGTTAGGTCATGTAATCAGTGTCCTTTATCACATAAAATAGAATTTATTGGCATTATTAAGATAATAAAATTAAGGTACAATATACAGCTTTATAATTTGCTTTTGAAACCACAGATCAAGACTAGAGTATTTATTTTAAAGAGTCTGTAAAGTAAAACTAATGGTATTGTCAACTGATTTAACTCACTGATATGCCTCTTCAATTAAGACAAGTATATATTATTTCCAGATACGAAGATTTTTTTTTAACCATTTGGAAGTTGTTAAGCTTTTTTTAAAAAGAAGTATTTGATAACATGTATTTTCATTAAATGAATTTATCAAAACTTCTCGAAAAGAAGGAGTTTTGCTTTACAATTTTCTATAAATTTTGAATAAACATAGAAAATAATAATTCTAGCAAAATTGCACTGACTTCAGGGAGCTTTTGAAATGTTCAGTTTTAATGTAGTGGTTTTAATTTAGAGCCGGTGACAGTCACTGTTGTTGGCAGTTACTCTTTTGCATGTGAAACAGTGTGTTGATTTTTTCATGCTAGGCTTGGCTTTTAACAATTCTTGATCACAATATCATTATTCTTCTTATGCCAAATAATTTGTATCAGCACCCTGATTTCTCTTATGAATTGAGTGAGAAGGAATGAATTTAGTTAGTATAATTAAAAATTCAGCATCTTTTTAAAGACTACAAAAAAGTGTTTTGGATAAAGTACATTTGAGGCATCTGCTTGGCAACAACTTTAAGTAGTTTATACTAAATGTTGGCTGACATAATCCTCATTTCTCTAGGGACCATTTTATTTTTCTTGGAAAATGCATCTTTAAAATTACCCCGAATTACACTTGAAGCAAACTAAAAGATAGACTTCACTAAACTTCCTGTCACCTCAGTTAACTAGCTGGGTAGTTCTTGCCCTGCCTAGCAGAATTATCCTTCTGGGTAGTGATGTTCTAGGAATTTTCATTTCAGAACTTGAAATGTGGTCTAGAAATATTAATATGCAATTGAAATCTTAGAGCCAGTTGGTATAATAATAAATGATAACTTAGCTAGGTTGAGTGAATTTATGAGATTGTTACAATTATGATGTGAACTTTACTGGAAGGTATGCTGGTCTTGGGCTTATTTTGCCCTCAGATCCATTTGACATCCTTCCTTTTTCTTCTGTCTGATTGGAGAAGGGCTACTGCTGCAGGTGGCTTTTCCTAGGCTCCTGTGGCAGCCGACTTTTATTGGGTTTGGTGAATCTAGTGGGAAACACTAATGGGAGATTTATGGAAGGGAGAAGACAGGGCATTTCTCTACTTCTCTTTTGTCTCTAGTGGTGTTGCTGACAGAAGCTGTTTCTTTTGTGGCTCCAATTCCCACTTGTCATAATTCCAGCATCCACTGTGCGATCCTAGCCCTGGGCTCTTGTAGCAGTGCTTTTTCGTTTTGTTCCTCTAACTCTTGTAATTAGACTCTAATTGATGTAAAGGACACCTTTCATTTTGGAGGATTAGTCAGGCATGACCTCTGCCTTTATCGGGAAGGCAGTGTCACAGAAACAATACTGAGTCACTGGAACCTGAGATGAAAGGGGTCAGTTGTTTGGAACCAAGGTGCTTTCAGAAACCCTTCAGTAAGGGAAACAAATATGTGTGTCCAGGAAGTGGTAACTAAGAACTTTCTTTCTTCCTCTTCACAAAGGTATAACTTAAGAGTTTGCATTATCTTACTATCTGCCTTTTCCTTGTAAGCATCAATGAGGTTGGAGTCTAGCAGATGGTGTTAAACGTGTTAGGTGGAGCATTAGACACTGTAATTTATGGCAGTTACCGAATCATCTTTGTGGCTTGGCAGTATCATTTATAGTATCTTCTATAAGTAAGTCCCCTCCTAACTTTGGTACTTCTACTCGGATTTCTGAGCTGAGAAGCTGGAAAATTCTAATTACATAATTAAACAAGGAGAAGGTATGCTTCCTAAAATATATTTAAGATTTTTTTCAGATATTCCTGCTTTGGCTTAAACAATGGGCAAGTGGCAAACAACTGACTATTCTAAATTTATTTTAAAGCCACATTTTCATGAAGCAGCATTTAAAATTAAAATACCTTGCATAGAATCCTCTGTCTTTGATTTTTTTTTTTTACATCAGTCAGGATGCAAAAATCTAGAATAATCCAAGTTCAAGCTATAGCATAGACTTTTTTTCTCTTTTTAAAAGTATTTTCAACAAGGAAGGGCCAAAAAAAGAAAATACCCTGCAGTATTGAACACAGATGTTTAATGTACATGTAATCCAGTATAGCAATGTAGGCATCATATATTGCAGAGAAGTACATCTGTTTTCTTCTACTATGGTCCACTAACTGATCCATGGCTTAATCTAGATATGTTTTTTGTCTACAGCTGTTCATGAACTTTGCTTTTATTTTGGAAGATGTTCTTAGATAAGAATGTAATTTTAAAAGCCAAACCATTGCTGTTAGCATGTCAATTTAATAAACTATCTCTTAGATTTATGCATTTCTACATTTAGATTTGCATTTAATTTTACATTTTCATTTTTAGTGAATGAAATTTCTATTTGATAAAATTGTTATAATTTAAATAAAAAGAGTTTAATTTCTATAGGATGTTAATTTTCATGCCTTGAGTATCTGTTCTCATTTTTTACATTTTACTGTACCAACAGAGCCATTCTTTATGACTCCCCATTTCTGATCACCTAATAAAACTTCAAAGTAAGCATCCCTAATTCTTGTCCTGTGAGCCAGTAAAGCCATATTGACTCATTTGATGTTGCTCTTTTCCGTCTAAATTTTCAGCATGACCTCCTTACAAATAGATAGATAAGATCCTGGCATTGCATGATACAACTGCCAGAGGTGATTCTTGTTTGGACATGTTATTTTCTGTCATCAGGACCATCAGGAAAATTATACATTAGGTGAATTTACATTGTCATGATCACTTATAATATACATTCATGTTGTCTAAAGTCCTTTGTAATTTTTCTTTCTAGGCTTGCTCTTTACAGAAGTGACCTAAAATTTTGTCACCTTTCCCATCCCATTTTCACCAACACAAGTGTGTCTGTATAGTGCATGCATGCACAGGCCCACACCCACAATGATGGGGTATTCTTTGTTCATATTTAATATTCTTTATTGTTTGTAAATAGCTTTTCAGGATTTTATAGCTTTTATCACTTAGAAACATGACTTGTGATTTGGTTTATCAACAGTCCAGAAACTGGGCCATGAAGCCTGTCATAGGTCACATTTTCAACTGGTGTGTGTTGAAATGTCTTTGTTGGTTTTAGTTTGGTCTGGGAGTGAACCATGCCATTTCAGACAACTGCCACAAGGATTAGGTGGTCTTTCCCGGTCTTTCTTGCCTTAAATGATATAATAATAATTATGTAAGTAGTTCAGTAAATTAGATAAGTTGAATTAATCTTAGAGTTAGGGAAAGTATAGGAGATTAATTAACAACATAAATTTTCAGTTGTACAGGTGTGTTTTTGCCTTTCCTGTCCATAGCAAGAAATATGCTTATGACCTGAATTTAAGGATTTTTTAAAAACTCTTCTATTTTTCCTTTTATATTTATTACTCTGAAAATTTTAAGCAAAATAAAACTGTACATGTCTAGTATGTATTGTTTTGTCTATTTAAAAGTAGACATAATCTCATATGTCCAGTGGTTCAAGATAAGGAAATGTAGGACATAACTTTCCCTCAACTCTATACCTCTTGCCATTTTTTTTCTTGCTTATTTTTCTGTTGGTCCATCAGAGTAAAAGACATCTTTTTACTGCCAGATTTTTGGTATATTTTTTAAAATCAATAAATAATAATAACAGGGACTTTCCTGGCGGTCCAGTGGTAAAGAGTCCGTCTTTCAATGCCGGGGACACGGGTTCGATCCCTGGTCAGGGAACTGAGATCCCACATGCCACGGGGCAACCAAGCCCACATGCCACAACTACTGAGCTCATGTGCCTCAACTAGAGAGTCTGCGTGCCTCAAACTACAGAGCTCACGTGCCCTGGAGCCCGCGTGCCACAACTACAGAGCCCACGTGCCCTGGAGCCTGCGCGCCACAACTGGAGAAGAGAAAACCCGCACACCACAACTAGAGAGAAGCCCGCACACCGCAACGAAAGATCCTGCATGCCGCAACTAAGACCCAACACAGCTGAAAATAAAATAAAATAAATAAAAAATAAATCTTAAAAAAAAATAGTGAAAAATAACAAAGGTTAAAAATCAAAAATACAGTGTTACGTAAAATTAACTGTAAAAAATGTTCCTTTGATAACAAAGATTACTGTTGTTTTAAAGTCTTTTGTTTCTATTTCTAAAGTCACGTTATTATTAGTGTGTTTTTGGCAGAAATAGTTTGCCCCTTAATGGAAGATACTGATGATTAGTGAGAGCAAAATATGTGTTAGCAAACTGCCTTATTTCTTTTAATGTTTTACCTTCCTTGTCTGGCAAACTGCTAGTAGTTCTGGAAGACTCATCTCAGACATCTCCCTTATGCAGCTTTCCCTTTTAGCCCCTTGATCACATATAGAATCTCTTTTCTCCTTTCTTTTGAGGTTTAGTTTAAGC